CAATTACGTAAATAATCGCAAAAAAGGGAATACAATGAAAATTAGGGAGGAAATCGCTAAATTAGGGTGGAAACAGCTGATCGCCGCGGTCGTGACGCGCTGCAGCCGCGTCGCGACCCCTGGGGTCGGCTGATCAACTGCCCGGATGACGACGATACATAACATTTCGAAATAGAGTGCCAGTGCTACACGATCACGCTCAGCGGTAGAGCGTTTGCTCTACCCAGTAAACATTTACCCTTTTGCTATTACGGTTTGCTCCTGCTAGCAGCTGAGTAATCAGAAGTCCAACGCGAACAGTGTGGTATGATGTTTCGGAAATGAGCCGGAGAACGGCAGCTGCTCCTTTTAGATACCAGCAGCGATGATTGCAAGCGTGCAGCAAGCGCTGCCTGTTGTTAGACGGACTAGAAGCAAATAGCTATAAATGGACGGCAGCTGCTTTGAGACGTCACATTTTTCAAGACCTTATTGACTGGTCGATTGTGCACTTGTGAAATGAAAATCCTGCCCAAAATGTCAACATTCTCTGGCAAGGCTTGGTCATTCCAATGAGATGCCGTAAGAGGTTTTTTTTGCAGAAATGACTCAGTACAAGTTGACGTATTTCAACGGACGAGGTTCTGCTGAGATCATTCGACAGGTGGGTTACGGCACTACCAGTCCAGGATCTCTTCTCCATGAATTTACCAGTGAAGAAAGACATTCAGTTGTTCGTCATTGCTGAGAAAAATTACGAAGACATACGTCTAGGTGGAGAAGAATGGCCGAAGCACAGAGCAGGTGTGTATGAATCAGTCAGATCATGGCTTCCATCTTTGATAAAATTTGACTGAAAACCGACTGAAGGAAGACTGAATGTAATGGCTAAAATCATCTAGGAATGCCGTTTGGACAAATGCCTGTACTGGATGTCAACGGGAAGAGGTTGGGCCAATCAAATGCGATAGCACGCTACTTGGCTAAACAATTTGGTACGACTGACTTCTCATACTGAAACTTTGAACTGATTTGGCACCGCGCCAAACTCAGCCGCACAACTACATATAGACTGGAAGTTGGAGAAGTTTTGAAATTTGGAACAAGGTGCTCGAGGGGTACGGATCGCCCACGCTACATGTGAGTTTATTGCCTTTGCGCGCTCGAAGGGTATCTGTCTGTGCTCTTCCAGATGGTGTCTGAAACAGCTTTGTGAAGGTATTTCAGACACCATCTGGAAGGGCGCAGACGCTAGATCTAACCTTATTTCGCGAGAAGAACCAAGTGCGATCAGTAAAAAGGAGTATACAGGAGGGGAGGGGGCATAAAAAAGACACTTCGGCCGAGTCACATATCAGTAAAGTTTTCGCAGCCCAGATAGAAGACGTGGATACGAGTACCAGGGCGGAAGATACCCAAGATGTTCCTCGATAAGCAGGAGCAGGCTCTCGCCCCTCACCTCCATGTGCACGAAAATATAAACACATTTTCAATCGCAGCCGGACTGGAGAAGGCCTATGGAATTCATGTCACCTCCAAACAGCTGCGAAACTTCTTCTATGGAGTCACCCATAGACAGCTACCTGGGGACCAACACTCTTGATCTGGAAGACCTCCAACATCGAGCAGCTCCGACAACGTCGCTACGGTCCAGGATATCATCTTCACCGCAGTCGCCAAGGCGCGGGTTGATGGTATGGACCGGCGTTCCTGGAATGAGAAGACCGATATTTTCTTCGTGGGCCCGGACTGGAAGTGAGCGCTGACGGTTACATCGACCAACTCGAGGAGAATATCCTGCCTTCATGTCGTCGCCTGTACCATCTTGGAAACTTCGTACTGCTACAGGATTGGGTGCCTCCACACGGAATCGAAGGGCGTTGGAAAAACTCTCGCCTACTTGGAATGGAAGGGCGTTGAGTACCTGAAGAAGACGGAATATCTAAGTGTGTCACCTGACCTAAACCCCCTCGATTACCGGGTTCGGGCGGAGCTCAACAGGGTGGTCTACAGTGGCGGAGAAATCAACGACCTCGCTGAACTCAGGCACCGAATCACGGTCTGGCAGAATCTCTCGATGGCGCTCGCCCAGAAGGCTGTAGCGGAGTATCGTGATAGTGTACAATGTGTTAATGAACATGATGGTGGAAATGTCCAATCAGAATCTAATAAAGTGTTACTATAGCGCCTAGAGGGACAAGGAAGAAAAGTCTTTTTTATTGCCCCCCCCCTTTATATCACTTCTGCACTATACCAGAGAAAAGGGAGAGTGGCAGCAGACGTGCAAACATGAGGCAGCTTTCAGACTTAGCAATGTTGCATGAGCGTGTTAAGTGCGGCCGACGCGCTAACGTTGCAACACGCGCTCCAACCTATAGACGCCAACAAATAGGGCGCACAAGGAATGAGCCCGCCAGTCGCTGTGGTTTTGAGAAGAGTTTAGGATAACAGTAGCACTGCTTCGCACAATCTAAGCTATCCATTCTTTTATACAATTCTAAAGCCCTTCTGTGGCCACGTTTTGCATCTATAAACATAGGCGGTTGCAGCGATGTAGCGGGCCGTCGACTGAGTGTGATCGGCCGGGCCTAAACGCGCCTGACGTGATCGCAGTCGCGACGTGCGTGGTAGTCGCCCGCGTGACTCCCCAAAGGCCCTTCCTCAAAAATGCTGGGTCGATAGTCGTGATAATTCAGGGTTACGCTGGTAAAGATGCTTGGGAAGAAGCAGTAGTTGATTCGATCGTCGACCAGTACAAAGAGTTCAGTACTGAAATTCGGCCATTTCTTCGAGTTTATCTGGGATTTGAAAAAGGCGATCTTGTGAGCCTTATTTCTTTTTTTCAGAACAAAGCCAGTAGATGCGGCACGAGCAGATTGTCATGCGCAGCAAAATTTCTTTACCCTCCCTCAATGAGATGGTGTTTAAAAAGGTTCCGAGCACATTTCTCGAAAATCGCCTGCGGAACATAGATTGTACAAACACTGATTATAGCTGCAAACGAGAGGGCGTGTGAAGGGCGTGGATAAGAGTGCAGCCATGAAGACCTTCTCCAACATCGTTGCCGGCTCAGGACGGCATCAACTGGGGGAAATGGCTGCTATGGCTACGCTCCAACGCCCCTCACACGCCCTCTCATTCTCACGGGTAGTGAGTGTGAGAATCTGCTCTATAGCGATGGTTTCACACTATCTCGGTGAGAGGGGCAGGCGGGCTGATATAACAGCCTAGTGGCGCCAGTGAGTCTCCCTACTTCAGTTACTTTCCTCGAACTCTCCTCACTAGCTCGTTTTTATACAAAAATACGTAACCTCTCCATTACTTTCGACTGTTGACCGCTAGTGAATGAAACCCTTCCCGAAGAATGCGAGATCACGAGCATTCTATCAGATCAGTAACTTTGCACCCCAGCCAGTCACACAATAACTGTCCCTTCAGGATGCCATCACGAAAGAAGTGTTTCTGCCGAATCGCGAGAAATTCTTCACATACATGAAAAGGTTCCTCACTAGCAACAAATCCGGTGGGTAACGTTCTGCATGATCGATCACGTTCCGTCAAATCTCTGAGAGCACTGTACTCAACAGAAAATGAAAAAGTCGTCGACGAAAGGCAACAATTCCAGTGAAGTAAACATAGCGAATTAATAACCCCGAACAGACTCAGTACTCACAATGAAAAACGACATAAACCTTGCAGGTTTACTCATTTGCGCAACCAACTCTGGAGAGATATAAGCAGCTCACCCTTTCAGATCCCCTGTTGGGTCCAATGCGCATTCAAAAGCTACTTCATGCATGAAAGGATTGATTTAGGCCGAGCAAATGTAGTGGAGGTTGCGGCTTGTTCTGTGGTCCTCGAAATGGCTGAGCATAAGAGAGGTCAAGGGAGAAGGTACTTATTGTCAGAAGCTCAGGAATAATGAAGCGGAGGTGTCGGCGTTTGGACTTCAATCCCTCATATGAGCGCCCCACGGTTGTTGAGAACGACCTCTCAATTTGAGCAGAAGGAACTTCTCGAGCTGAATGACATTCTACTCCTTTAAGAGCTTTTTTAGGATATCTTGTTGGAAACAAGCTAACCTGGGCTGATCTGTATTTGGCAGAAATGGCCGAATTCGAAAAGAAAGTACCGGAACTCTATGAAGGGTTCCCTGAGGTGACGCATTCTGTTAATGCCTTCTTAGGATAAGTGAAATGGCTCCTGAAAGACAGGAGTAACAAAATCTCTTACAAAAGTCAAAACAGATTTAATTCTCTAATGCTTCGTGAGCTCCTTTCAGGTTAAAGCTCATTCTGAAAAAATCCGATCAATTCCGACTCTAAAGAAATGGATTGAGACTCGTCCGGAAACCAAATTCTGAGACATTATACGTGACCCTTATCCCGTACAGTTGATATCAGTGAATCATATCATTTACTTGCCCATAATTTTGACACTCACTTGCAGGTCTACCTTTCTCTGCCGTTATTTTTGCATGTGTTTTCAAGTAAATGATTGCTTTAATTAATAAATTGTTTCCATTTATGGGCTTTAGACTCCATTAATTTCTGAGCGAAATTTGCTAGAAAGTGAAATAACGAAATCATTCTGCAGAAAATAAATGCAAAGGAAGTTGGGTAGGGCTGAAGTCTATTTCGCGGCCCTTGAAGGGGGGGGGGCATGTGGACGGATGTCTAAAGCTCAGCGAAAACGAAACCGATCAACTAAGTTTTGGAAGCAACCTAATTTTAGAAGCCAACGGCGCTTCTATGACACACAGTGACTAAATACTGAATGTGTTGCCTTACTTGTCCCGGAATTCATGGTCAGAAGGAAAATCTGTTCGAAGTGATCAGAGATCACTTGAAGCAGGTGCTGTAGAGCTGTTTGTCATGTCTTATTATTACCTTCATGCATAAAAGGTGTCAGCGCAGGTTGTGTTTACTCCTATTCTGTGAATTATGAGCAGGCCAAGAATAGATTGGAGATCCTATTTTCTTTCAAAAGCAGTTCTTGTATTCTAATCGGCTGAAAACCTTTCCACACAACTCAAGGATCGTCTAACCTCCATAAGTGTGTTTGCTTTGTGAAAACCACTGAAGCACAACCTCTCCGTTCAGCTCAACTCTTTGATCACTCGTTCCAATTCCAATCCCCTATTCTCCTCAGCGTTAGTCCCGCTGCCACAAATTCCTGGTTGGAAGCTGCCACATGTTCCGATCGCATGCTCTTCTACTGTGACAGTCACTGCAGTATGCTCCTGTTCTGATGACGTTTCTCCATCTCGTGGTCGCTTACCTTGTAATCCGAATACCGACGCCTTCCTTATTGGGTGGTCCTCAGTTCTTCTCATAGCCGGCATGTGCTGCGTCCATTCGAGCAAAGGAACTCAGATCCCTATTCTGGACAGTGCCACTGCAAAGGATACAAGGGGGCTCATGCATTCGCTGCAGGATGCCGCACTTCTAAATTACGAGCGCATATTCTACACTTCAAAATATACCGACTGATTCCAAAAAAACATACAAACTGTGGAGTTGCGAAGCAGCTGAGAGGGTTTGCTCTGAATTTCGGAATTTCAAGTGTCACCTAGCTGGTACCAAAACTCTGAGAAACGAAATGAAGACAATCATGACGAAATGAAGCGGTTTTTTTTGTAACAAATGGCATAGCACGCCCACTTACATGTGGTCCGCCATATAAGCGAAACGTAGGTTGAGGGGTCAGAAAGAAGGGTGTGCTAGTTGACTTATCTGTGAAGAAAAA